AGTAGCAAAACTACATGGGGAAGGCACCAGGAAATAAGATAGAATTTTGTAACATCTTGGGTATGGGCTGTGCAGCAAAGGACACTGATGGGGATGGTCTACAGTCACAATGCTAAGAAACAGAGGGAGCACAGAATTGCAAAAGCTTTTGTCAATAGAATTTCATACCCAATTATTGTCATGGGACTCTCAAATTTTATTTCCTGCAATTCTTCTGGCAAAAGGCCAGTTCTCACATGACCTCCGTAATTTTTTTAATCCTATCAATGAAATCGTCTTTCCTTTGAGGCAGCCCATTTTATTCCCTTTTAAGAGAGCCGATTTCCCTTAGAATTTGGAACTGAACTGACTATAAATAGTAAATTTTCTCTTACAGAGATGAACATCAGCATGCTAACATATGCAAGCCATTGATTTTGTTACAATTATACTAGATGGAGCCCACCCACAAAGGATGCCATCCAAAGAGGCTTTTCTTCTTAACTGGGTGAAAAATGGTTGTGCCAGGTGGCAACTTTGAAGACAGGTAAAGAGCGGACAATACACACCAGCATGGGATCCTTAGGAGATGCACAGCCTCTTCTGTGTGCTGCAGCTGTTGGGTATCGGCTGTCTCTCTGAGCAGGGATCACAGGCAATTTCTAATCTCACGCCTGCTTCTGGTCTGGGCTAGCAGCACAGAGGCAGAGTTGATTTGAACCTACCAGACAGAATAACCTGTTAATTCTTAGGCTATTACTTAACAAATCCAGGTGTTGGGATCAACTGTTTTCTGCATAACAATGCCAAAGGCCTTCAATCTACCTGCCCTCCCTGCCCAGAAGCGCAGTCAGTAGGGGAGGTGGCAGGGAGCAGACCCTGATTCAACAGCAGCTATTGCTCTTTTTCTTGTCACTCTATAGGTCACTGGCTGGCAGAAATCTCTGTGGAAATGCATCTAAAAATATTTTGAAAACTTGGCCTCTGCTGATGAGAAAATTAAGTGGTGACTCATGCTCCCATCAGCTCCAGACTTGATTACTGCAATTTGATGGACTGAGAAGCTGATATTCCACCGAGACTGCAATTTGCTTAGGGGAGCAGCCAAGAGGCCTCATTGGCACCAATTGCTTCCAACACATCTCTCTTGTCCTTTTAATCACTAACAAATTTAATTTCACTTCTCACGGAAGATCTCACTCTCCACCTTTCGGGCAAGACAACAATTTAGAGGCTGCTTTCATGACCTCTGCTACAGCTCTAGATGCCAGCATGAAGCAGACATTGCCTGTAGCAATGCCTCGCACCTGCATTTCCTGGCATTGCTTTCTCTAGTCCTGCACATCTAAAGCCATTGGACAGTCCCTGTCCATGCTACTCCAGAAGATTACTTACCATCCTGCAGGGTGTTCTCTGTTGAATGAGAATTTTACAGGAACCGTACACATAAACTTTGAAGAATTTAATTCAAAATGCCTCCTCAAAGAAGTCACAGTCTAATGATCGCAAGTGGTAACATGGTTTAAGCAAGAAAACGGCAAAGAGGAGACAACCTCCCTCTTCTGACATTGTTCTGATATGATGCTGTAGTTTTGGTCTGGGAGATTGGGGCTACCCGTGGAAACAGGGACAAAAGAGATTCCGTTTGTTAGATGCTGGAAAGGGCAGGCCATCAAATCTAAAGTAAAATACTCTTCATTTACTCTCCTCACGTGTTACATTATCACCAAGCTTTGTTAGAACAATAGCAGGGCTTTTCAAACAGCTTCCCTAGGGAGACCGCTCTGCAGCTTAACAGCCCTTTCACTGGAGATGTGCAAGTGTAACCAAGGGCAGAATTTAGTCTCTTGTCTATTTAACGTGTTTGCGAGGGACTGTATGTGTTTCTGGCACTTTATAATAATAGTAATATAAATGCATTTGGATTATAACAAAATGGAGATACTATGATTTAGCCCTTTACTGTGTTGTAATTCCCAAATGCATCAACATCTATTTAAGTGCAAAATAGTCTACAGTTTACAAATACAATGCTGCGATCGTCTGCTGTAAAGGTTCTGTATGAGATGATGATTCAATACAAAACAAGATTCAGTGTCTGAAATTTCATTTTTAATGTCAGAATAACATCAAAAAAGTAGCTCTTTCTCCATATGCAGTCTGCAAAAAAAATGTATACCAGGGACTTGGTCCTTTCTAGTGATTTCTACATATATAACCGCTCATCTCTTATGCACATATGCACTTGCACATAAATAAATGTGCTTGCCGACAGTATTTCATCTAGCTTTCTAACCTCCTGCTGTCAAGATATTTCCACAGAAAACCGTACACAAATAAAACTAACAGCTCCTCTTTCCATGACTGCCAGAATAACGTAGTGGACTACTTCTGTAAAACCAAGCTGCTGGATTACTCTCCTTTCACTCTGTGAACAAGCACAACCGTGCAGCTTCTGCTGAGATTGCCTTTTCTGTCATATAACCTATTCGCACTAACTAAAGGATCTACAAGAAAAAAAACAATCACAATTTTGATTTTAACTACATAAAAAATGATTTATCTTGGACCTATTACTGGGGTCATGAAAAGCTGCTCAATTTAGTGCACAAAAAGGGAAATAAAATGTTTGAGTAACTCAACACAAAGTGCTAAGATTCCCTGTCACCTCTGAAGTGCTCTTTTATTGTTTGGGTGCTTTTTTTCCTCTGCTATCCTTAGATGGAATTATAGATATGCAGAAGATAAGAAGTGTTGATGATCAAGAAAATCCTTGTTTTAACATGGGCAAAGTTCTCATTTGCCATCAGTTTTGCCTGATTATGTTCAATGCCAGGTATCTCTCAGTTAAATTTAAAGCCAAGAAGTTGAAAAGATTCAGAACTGTTCTAACTCTCTACTGAAAAACTGGTGTAGTTCAATGAATTAATTTTCAGTTGATAGTTTGCAGTATTCTGAGGACTTTCTTTCCCCAAGTTTAGTTCATAAAATATTTCTCTACAGTTCATGGATTTTTTTTTTTTTAAAGAACAAGCAAACATTTAAAAGCTTACCCACAAAAGAACAAAACATAGGTAACAGAGGTAAAAAGTTGATCTAGAGGATAAGTAATTTTATCTTGTTTTCCTATTAACAAAATTAAATTCAAAACCATTCTGTTTATTAAAGACATACAGGCATAATAACAAGTCATAAAACAAACATCTTAACAGTCTTCAAACATAACAGAATTGATATGCATAATTAAGTTTCATTAAGTACGGATTTAAAACATGTATTTCAGTTTTGCTTTATATTCCCTTTAGACCAACACCTCCACCACTCATACACAATATTTAGGCTGCTCCAAGCAATCAACGAGGACTTTGTAAAGGCTCTAACAAAACTCCATCTTAACAGTTTGAAATATTCTTAAATGTAGAAAAAATTTAACAAAGAAAAAAGGATGTGTTCAGCGGAATCTAACCAAGTTGTCGGATGTACTGAAAGTCGGAGATTCAGTATGTAGAGGTAGCTCTATAAGGGTACTTGCAGTGTTCTGACTATTTAGCATGACACGACAGTAAGTTACTGTATGCTTGAACTCTTCCTATATATTTAAAAAAAAGCGAGCACTCTTTCTGTGTCTGCTGCTTTGCCATTCAAAACCAACAGAAAGAGTCATCGATTTCAGTGGGATTGGGATTAAGTCCTTATATACTCTGGAAGTTCAGGTTTATGGAAACAGAACAAAAAGAAACTGTCCTGAGTCTGGACTCTCCGCTGCAAGCAGTGCTTTTAAGCCCGGACAAAGGAATTTTTTCCCACATGGGGCCCGTTACTGGTTAGCATGCTTAAGGAAGGGGAACCTTGAATTTGGCCCAAGAACACACATGCTATTCTCTCCAATTACCTCACAGGTTGGCCTGTTGGTGGATCTGACTATGCTATCTAGGGATGCATTAATCAAAACTGAGCTCACTGCCCGCTGCCCTTTGCATCCCTGGCTAGTGAGAAGAGAGCACAGCCCTGGGGGGCACAGGCAGTGGACAGTGTCCCTCAGCTCTGCCACCTGCTCAGTGTGCAGAGCTTGATCCCCCTCCGGGGAATGAAAGAATTCAGCATGTTGCCACCTCACGTACCTTCGTTACATCGTCATTTTATTGGTGATGACAATTCTGAACAAGGTGACGCTGTCAGCTCCCAGCAGTTTCTCATACAGATGGCAACAGAGCAGTCTTGCACTGACTGACCATCAGGTAAAGCACCGATGATTGGTACCAGATTACTTTCCTGTTACTCACAGGAATAACGGACTAGGAATAACAGACTAGGTAAACCAAACACAATTTTTTTCACAAAGGCAAAAGGATATGAATTTCACATGCCTATTGTGATACAAAAGATCTTTATCTGGTGTAAATGGCTATAGCCTTATCAGAGCTATGATAATTTACATCTGCTAAAGATCTGCTCCTAGGTGTTTGCACTTAGTTGCACCATTAACTGCAATGTTAACCATGACACACATGAAACTTCAGCATTTATATTGATCCCAGTTTGACCTATTTCTTTCATTCCTTTTAATGTTTTAATGCACAATTGCCAGCACAGTTTTTGCAGATGGGTACACCTCAGAGTCTGGACTAGAGTACGCTTCTGAAATCTTAATCTCCCAGACAAGATTCAGTGCTGGCTATATGTTTAAATATATGCCTGTGTTCCTTTCTCTTCCACACTTCTCTTAGAAATAGTATTTTGTATTCTTTTTTTATATAAGTTTATTAAAAAGAGTAACATTTTATTTTTTAAAAAGTTGTGACTGATTGTCAAATTAACTAAGATAGCGTTTCTGTTACTATAAGGATCCTTTTAATTGGGAAAAAAAAAAATATTGTCAACTTTCTTGTCCTCACAAGCTATTATTCATTACCAGTGCAGCAATATAGAGAACATAGCTTGGCTTACTACAATAAAAGCTCTGTTTTAATTTTAGCATCCTAAATTCTGTCACTGCAGATCTCCGTGCATTGCACCGGGGGAAGGAAAAGAAAAAAGAAAAAGAGAAATTTGTGTTCTTCAGGGGTAAATTATAAAAGATCTCCTAGCTGCAAACACAAATACTTCACTCATAACCCAAGCACCAGACCAATTCTTTGAAGAAGCTTACGAGGCATTTAAGATATACAATGGCACAATATCATACAATGGAATTGAAAGAATTTTCTTGAGAAACCATTAACTTTGAAGGAATGTCTAGACAACTGTGTCAACAAATGCAAATAATTCATGTTTCTCAGCTTCTATCCAATGGATGGCCCCATGCTGAGTATACACAAACTCAGAAGAAAAAGGCATGTCACAGTCATATGACTAGGGAGTGTAACAGTCACACAGAAATTCAAGTCAATCTTGGAAAAAAAACCTTCAGAAAGCTCTTCCCCAGGGTAAGCCAGCAGTGGGATAGGCTTCTGGTCATTTTGGCTAGTTTAAAACAGAGACTTAAGCTGACGCGCCCTGGCTTCAAAACAGGGGCAATGGAAGAAACAGCTTGGTTAGAAAAATAAAAACTAAACGACTCCAAAATACTGTACAACCTCTTGCAGTAACCAACAAAGTGGCTTCTGGAAACAATGCTTTTGCCAAAAATGCATCTGTAAGGCACTTAACAGGTATCTTTTTAATATATATATATAAAAATAAAATATGCACTGAAGTATATATATAAAAATTAAATATGCACTGAAGCAACATTCACAAATACCCAGTTGTCTCAATTGTCTGTGTGTACAGTATAGTACATATATACATTCACTGTGACACAGGCCATCTCCATAATTATACCTTCACGGGTGCTTTGGGCTGCCTGGTTAACTTCAGTGCCTGTGAATGGTAAACAAAACAGTCACTTTTTTATATTCTTAAAAGACAACCAACAGCACAAGACAAGATTTTTATTCATAAGGGGCAACAAAGTGCTGCCTGTACTTCTGAGAGGCTGAGTGAGGAGTCAGCGTGCAGCTGACAGGCCGCTCTGGGTTTTGTGATGATGTTTTTATCTCTGATAGCCCATCACAACTTCCTCACATACAGATAGCCTTAAAAGAGGAACCACAAGGAATATGGCTACAGTGCCAGTGAAGGAAGTGGAGGTGGTTCTCAGGTGTCTTCAGAAAGCAACTATTTGGACCCCACTCAAACCACTTGTGGCACAGATACAAGGGCTTCTGACCCACTTGGGGAAAGACTGTGAAGAAAATTTCTGCCAACACCTTTGTGTTCCCTGGCCTCCTTCCATACGGCTCGAAGCCTGCTCAGAGTATAGTCACTGCTGCAGTGGTGGATGTCACGCATCTCTGATGTTTATACCTTCTTTTCTGAGAAAAGGTAAGAATAAGCCAAAGTCCATCAGTCCAGAGGTGATCTTATGCTAGGGGACACCCGACGTCTTTGTAGCTCTAGTCTACTCTGAGGAGGAGAGAAACCACATGCCTTTATGTGATGGCAGGGTCCAGCTCTGTGCTCTGTGCTCCCCGCAGGGCTGGCCAACTATGGTAGCCGAACTACTTATTCAGTTCAACTCAAATGCTAAGGTGATCATGCTTCTAGTTTGGCAGGAAGCAGCCTCTCTAACTTAGGAGGCAAATGTGACAGGCTTAAAAGGTGTTAGGTTTTCAGCTGCTCCTATATACCAACGTGGTCACTGTGAAGGATGCCCATTGTTGGTGTGCTCTGCAACAAAAAAGCTCAGTGATTTCTTGTGTGGGACGAATCGGCCTGAGTGAGAGGGAAATTCGCGAAATTTGCAAATTCCTGAAATTTGGAACCTCTGTTTTCCTTAGCCTTTTGGGTGAAGACCCTGGCAGACTGGCATTTGCCTGTCGAGTGGGAGACTTATCATTTCCGGAGGGTTGGCTAAACAAGCAATATTCAGTCTGAGAGATGTCTGATGGGTCTTCTTATTGTAGATATTAACCTTTAATATTGTACATTTAAAGCTTGTAAGCACTGCTTGAAAAACGCTCCAGCACAAACATAAACCCTTAAAAAAATCCAAACCTTTCAAAATAAATAGGCTATATTCCCCTCACAAACACCAGCTTTCAGAAACACCAGCATTTAACTATTGTTAAATCTAGCTGTTTGAGATTAGTCTTTTGGGTATTATTCAGCAAGAGACTTTGGAGAGAGACATCATTCCACACTTTGTTTGGGGAAATAATTTTTTAACTTTGTAGTTTGGCAGATTCTGCTGCCATATTTACAAAGTAGAAATACCTTAGTGTAGATGAACCTCTAAATATTTAAATTCAATTTCATACAACCAGATCACATGTACTATCATAATTAAGTAAGAATGTCACTGCAGTTGAGTACTGTGACTGGATAACCGTCTCCCCCTGCAAGAGAGATGCCAAAATGAAGCCAAGGTGTTTATAGAAAATAAACATCAAGGGTGATGATGACATGTTTATTTTCAAAGCGCGAGACCATTATCCAGTCACAACGTTCACTTCTATTATACTTATTATAACTGTACCAGACCCAACCTCATTGATTTTTTTCAAAGAGTAATTAAAATAACATTTGTGAATAATACAGAAGACCAACTGAAGAAACTGCTGCAACAGAACAACAATCCCCCAAAGTGGTTCTACGGTAGCATTACAGTCTGATTAGCACAGGAGGTTTATCTGATGCTTAATGAATAAGAAACTAGTGCTGGTGAAGTGTAAATCTCTCCAGTACTGGTTGACTTTTCTGATGCCCTGTTTAAAGGCTGTGTTAACTTGCCGCAACTGACAGCAGCCCCTAAAGGCCATTACCGCCCCTGAGGATCAGGGAGATCTGGATGAGCTCCAGCCCCACTCCTGGTCTTGACAGCAGGGAGCAGTTAGATGCTGAAAAGAACCCAGCATTGCAGGGATCGTTCTGTCACTGGTAGTGTCAACTTTCTCTGCAGGAATAGCATGGAATTTTCTTTACACAACCTGTAATGTCTCCTGGTAATTTCTGATTAAAAAAAAATCATGACTTTCAGACTGATGGAGAAATGACATATGATTCTCAAATTTCCATTTTCGGATGCTAAGATAAGTATATCTTAACAAGGTCTGATTTCTGGACTCGGTTCCTGAAAATTGAGAGTTTTCCTGCATTTTACAATTCAGGTAACCAAAAGTGAAGCCACATGAAAATCACTGATTTGGGGAATTTTAGCATTCAGGTTAGCAAGATTACTTTAGTGGAGTGAAGCTAGTAAAATAGCAGCCTGTTGGGTTTTACTGAAAATTGGAAACATGGAAGTTATAAAAAAAAAAAATTTCTCCACTGACAAGTGGAGAACGCACGGTACTAGTGGCGCTGGGCTTCCCACCGTAGGTCTCAGCCTCCACCTATAAAATGGCTGTCAAAGACTGCTTCAGTTGCCACAGCTTCTTGATCCTTATTATCTCAGAACATTAAAGACAGCATTAAAATCAGCTGCGTGGACTAGTGTTCTGCGAGGTGGTTACTACTGTTCTGAGAACCTGACTAAAACCATTGCAATTACTTCATATAGATCACAGAATGGCTGTCAGATGTCAATAGCTTCAATTTGTACTGAAATAAGCATAATTTGAATCGGTAATGTTGATGCAAAAACCTCTAGGTTATAGTCTATAATCCTACAAGCTATCCCATGTCATAATTTTGGCATGAAATGTGATGCACCAGATTCCTGTAGACTTCTTACTATTGTAAAGGGTGACCCAAGTAGAAAAAAAAAATTAAACAGTTCTCATCCTGGCTTCAATTCAATTGAGAAAGTGCCCTCATTTTACCTGATTTCCCCAGCTCCCATGGGACAGATCTTTGTCACTTGTCCATAAGGGAGATCCAAAGCTGTGATTATTAGCTAAAGACGGAGCCGTTCTTATTGGGCATAATCTGAATTCATAATTTGAATGAATTCATAATTTGAACTAACCGTAGAGGTCTAACTTCAAGATTTGAACCTTTTCAGAGCCAAGATAGATAAAGTTCAGCATTTTTAATTTGATACTACTGTGACTATCACTGTCATAAAGGAAGTAAAGAAACAGAAAAATCTCTACGAAGGAACCTGAGGAGTTTAAGACGTGTTTAGGTATATTTTTTCCTCATAGCACACTTTCCATTATAAATCAAAACCAGCAGTTCTTACCTTTTGCCTAGAAACCATCCAAGATTTTATTGTTGGTACCAACAGACTGCCAAGAAGAATCTGAGCAGGATGATAGATGAGTAAGGGGACGGAAATTAAGGACAGGTGCTCATAACCCGCAAATACTATCTTCAGCATTGGAATCCCTGCAGGCAGAAAAACAGGAGACAGACTCTCACCTCAGACTTTGAGCTCTAGATAAAAGCAAAGCATTTTATGTTGCATTGACATTTCACCAAAAAAAAACCAAACCAAAAAGAAATAAAATGAAGACTCAGAAGTTTTATATTAAAAAAAAAACCAACCCAAACAAACCAGCGAGAACATGAACAAAAAAAATACACGGCAGAAAAAGTTCTGTGGCAGAAAGGAAGGAGTAGGGGAATGCCATAAAAGATCTTTTCTAATTATGCTAATAGCTGTCAAACTCCTGCTGAAGACTTGATATAAAATACATTCTGCTATAGCATGACTGTTCGGTTGCTGAGCATAGTCCTGTACTGCTTATTTACTACTTCCTCTCACTGTGCTCTGTTACGTGTTTTCATGATTGTCCTCCATCCAACTGCCCGATTCCTGCTTGTAACCTTTCCTCAGTCCGTTCAGCACTGGAGGAGGGTTGCGTTTTCCTGGTATACTCCCTGCCAGCTGGCGAGTACCCAAATGGCAGCCTTCGCTGCTTTGACTAATTCATGCAGTCAAGGTAGAGAGTAGAGTACTCTGCAGGTGAGTGCTCATGTGTTAGAGAACAAAACTCTCTGCTCTACCTGTATGTTTCAGAAGACATACAGCACAAGAGAGAAAAGGTTTAGTGAACTGAGTGAGCAATATGAAGCGGTCATGCCTATAAAGAGTTAGGGAGCAGCTGGAGTACAGAAGTTGCCAGATGCTGGAAGAAGTGAGTGTTAAGAGCTAGGGATGAGCCATTTTTCCTAAGAGCTTGAATTTGCACTCAACAGTGCTAATTCTATTAGACATCTCCATGCATAATCTTCCCACTTGATGATGTGATATGTAAAATTAAATTTGATTTAGTTTTGCAGTAATGAAACTGATTATGCTTACTTTGAACATGTTATAGTTCAAAATTATCTGTTTAAATCTTGGAACCTTGCTACCACGCTCCACAAAGCATAGGTGTGGGCAAAACTTGCAATCATCTCTGCCTTGCTTGACCAGACATTTGCAGAGTCACCAACAAGAGCAGCTGTGATTCCTCAGGAGCCTCCCTGAGAACATACCTTATTTTCTCCCTCATCTTAAATGTCATACTAGGAATCTTCCATCAGCATCAACCCTGCAGCGAAGCAGACTACACACTTCACAGAGCTCATCTGTGTGCCTCCTTTCTTAGCAATGACAAAAAGCTGAGCTTTGTGCCACATGCCCTCCATTCCCCCATTAGTCGATGTTTCAGATCAGCCAAAGTTGTCATGTTTACATAAACTTTTGTCTGTCTTGCATAAACTGCCGTTCTCATCACCCTTTCAGATTTCCCTTAATAAAAGTTGCCTCCTCCGTATGTGAGGAAAGAGCTTATTTGTTGAATATTTACCACTCCAGCAGTACCCCACTATTGCTGACATGTCCAGGCTTGCTGAAATCTTCATGATGTTTCCACAGCACCATTTCTTGTAATTATTTTGATTAGCTTCATCACATTACACCACTAACAATCTCGTCCCCATACTAGTAGCCTTTACTTATGTGGATATTTCCAGGGAAAGATTAAATCAAATAAATAAAGGCTTGCGTGCTTAATTTCAATATTATAATTACCTTTGAAACAACATCATAGACCTATCACACAATAGGGATGCTTATTATTAACACCAATGTCTGGGGCTTGGGAATAGATAGTATTTGGATAGAAATTAAATGGGCATTTGCATTATATTAGAGGAGTGTAATTTACTTCAAGTGCCCATCACACTGTTTTTGTAAACAGATGAAGGTTTTATTGCCTGTTTCCAAGTCTCAACTTGACCCTGGTGGGTCCTTTTCTGTTCTCTAACCACAGAAAAACAAACTACAGTCCCAAGCTATGAACATGCTATATTTATGTTCGTAAGACAGTACCTGGTGTTTTGGTAGTGCAATTTCATCCATAGATCCAAAAACACTTTAGTAAGCTGAACAGGACTCCTACAGAGAATCAGAGAACACTAAAATGACTAGCCTAAGATCACACAGAAAACTAACGGCAGAGACGTGAACAGAACGGATCCAAAGTTATTGAGACATGCTTTAAATTACTGTACATTTTCTGAACTGAAAGAAAAGATCAGAAATTCCAGCCTAAAAGGTAAATTCTCTAGAGGAAAGCTATTTCAGTAAACTAGGAAAAGAAAATTAAAGTTGTCAAATATAAATACAAAATACTATAATTAGTGTGACAATATAATTAGATCACTGGGTGGAAAGAGGTTCTTAATTCACAGCTTGTTTAAATACATGTCACAACAAAAGGTTCCTGTAAGCCACTAATGTGCAATTAAAGTTCCTGTTATTTACCAGGAAAAACTAACTGGTGAAAAGAAGAAATAATAATAATTTTTTGCAGGTAAGCATTTGTTTACTGGAAAGAAAAAGCCCTGTTTCCTTTTTATGCACTTTCTGATTTTTATAATTCCAACTTCGCCAGTATGCACACTCTCAGAAAAATATTTCATGACAGAAATCCACAGATTAAAGTCACAAATGCAGTAATATTACCACAAAGCTAAACAAAACAGCATGGGTTTTATTTATTTTTAAAAACATTGCCTAAACTTTTTCGTAGCAATACATAGTAACTGCAAGCATCGGTACGACTGCTAATGTTTTCCAAATGCATAAAACTCATGCAAATTCCTAATTAGGAAAAACATTTTAATAGTTACTTTTCCCTCTCTCAAAAAAAAAAGCTATTTTTTTTAATATATGTAAAAAACATTTGGGAAAAAAAAATCCAAACAAAATGAAAACCAAATCCCAGCCAAAGGAAGAAAAGTGACCTTATAATGCCTGGGCTGATACTGTATGCTGTATCTTAGCCCGTAATGCATTTTCAAGATGAGATTATGAACTAGCCCTAAGAGAAGCTATAACAGAAACACTGACTGAAACAATAGGGACATGAACAGGTGCTGCTATAACAAAACTAATTAAAGTGAGTGAGATGAGTTTAAAACTTACAGATAGATAGCAAGGAATGAAGGTGCTAAGCAAAATGGATATGGTTATCTTTACTGCAGGGTGTCCGCTCCTCTTTTCCTCATCTTTTATAGCATATTGCTTCCAGTGCTAATGGAGTATGATAGCTACAGTAAGTCTAAGGTAAATAAAATTTTGCACAGGATCAAATCACATATATTAAAACCCAGACCACTACCTTAGTCTTAAGTTTCCTCAAAGTACACAGCAGCTCCTCCCTCTCCCCACCCCCCAGTATTACTAGGGTATTTATTTGCCATCTGGAGCATTAAGGCGACACTCACACGTATAGAGAATAATGCCTGTAAGGATTTTTCATTTTGTTTTCACAGAGCCATTAATCATGCTTATCTTCATTTCAGGGTAATAGGACTGATTTCTATGGGTCTTCATCCTGGTTGACACTGGAGGAGGAACACTGGCATCAATTTATATACAATCTTTTCGTTAAGTTTTAAAACTGCTGTCATGGTCAGAAGGCTCATGCCACAAACACCCATTCATGTTGCTGAGGATTATGAAGTTACAGGCTTCCAGCAACTTGGTTCAACTCCTCTGCCAAAGACCCTCACTCGCTACATATCACGAGAACTGAATGACAAAGTGCTCCTCTGTGGTTTGGTGCCAACTTGGGCAAGTTTGCTCAAAGTAGGGGTGTAACAAGCTGTTGAGTTGCCAAAACCTTTTAAACAGCCTTATTGCATGAATATGTGTCCAACTGCTGAATCAGAGCTGACCAAACACCGTGACAGGCGCAAGTCAGGGTTGTATCCCATCCTCCTCCAAAGAAAGAGGAAATGTAGTACTCAGCTGGGTGAGAAAACAGCACCTCACCTGACCAGGACTACAGAGAGCTGCAGCAGAAGGGAGGAAGCACTGAGATCATCCCACAGATATCCCTTACAAACAAGATCATTAGTGTTCCCAGCTTTTTTACCCTGAATTTCCCTTTTCTCCTCTGTTTGGCTGTTTCTCCTACTAGTGCTCCTCTGTGTTCCCATTTTCCTCCTTGTTCTTTGTCTCCGGTATTCACAGGCTCTTTTTCTTTTTCCATTTGTATTTTCTCCCTTCCTCCTTTTTCCTCCTCTTCTCCACTCCCACACTTCTAGCCTGCTTGGTTTTGCTTCCCAAGACTTCTGATTCTGCTCACTTGCAGCAGTGTAAATTTTGGGTATTTCCACTAAAATCACTAAGCCCCACTAAGTGCAGTGGGCACTAAAATCACAGTCCCACTGCAACTGAGAGAAGTCAGTTAGGCCTGTGATATGGAGTACATTTCATTTTTCTCCCTGTTTGTGTCCTCACTCAGCCCATCTCATGTAAGAACTTTGCAAACCTGAGGAAGAGCTAGCAAGAGAAAAGCTGTTTATCCATGACCTTCAACAACGGCAAGGAAGAGTGAGAGCACTGCTCTTACAGTCTGGTATAGGAAAGCCCTGTTTGCTCTCCGTTGCTCCAAGGTATTCCAGTTTGGCTTCAAGGCTGTGGTTTATCAGCCCTGGTCAAAGGCCACTGTTCCTCTAGTAGCCTGCACAACTGAAAGCTATTTATCCTTCCTCCAGCTTTGCATCCAGTATAACCTCCCACATTCTCCCCTTTCCCCTTTGCTACTTTCACATTTCGTAGTCACCTTCTTAAAAGGCCCATGAAAATATCATGCTGCACTTCACTACATTTAGTTAACTGTAAAATAATAATAATAAAAAATCCTAAAATATTTGAAGGTATTTTTAAGAGAATTTAAATATAGGACTCTTTTCATCTAGCTATCACTGCAGTAATATAAATGAAGCAAATTAATTTGAATGCTCCAAGGTACTGATTCTGTGTCACTGTCACTGACAGGATCCAACTAGACTTTATGAGATGGCATTTGACTTTATGGAAGTGAGCACTATGCACGCATTTACAATTTTACAGGGACTTTAAGCTGTCATGCTGAAAAATGTTT